TCAACGAGTGAGAGGGTCACCGGCAGGAGGAAGGAGGTCCTGATTCCTCTATACAGACCTGGAATATCACTAGAGGGGTCACCGCAGGAGGAAGGAGGTCCCGATTCCTGACTATAGGAGATCCTGATGAGTCACTAGAGGGCCAGTCACCGGCAAGAGGAAGGTTGATGATTCATCCTGATTCCTCTATACAGATCTATCACTAGAGGGCGTCAACCGCAGGAGGAAGGAGGTCCTTGTGATTCATCTATATAGATTTCTATCACTAGAGCCCGGGTCACCGCCCGCAGGAGGAAGCCCGGCAGTCACCCCCTCCCTCCCCGATTCCTCCAATAACCCCCCTTTGCCCCGGCATATCACCCCTATCACCCCTCCCTGGAAGGCAGGTCCCTCTCCTATGCCCGGCATCTCACCCCTCACTGGCACCAGCAGGAGGAAGGAGGTCCTGATTCCTCTATACAGACCCCCTTATATCACCAGCATGAATGAATGGAGCGCAATAACAAGGTTGAATGAGTATTACATTCAATAAAGACTTGACAGGCAAGGCCGATCACCCCCTGACTAAAAGTATGTATTTTCTGCATTAGCAGGTCAACGAGTGAAAATGAGGAACCACCCCTGAAGCCAGTCATGGCGGCAGGAGGACACGGCATTGATGACATCACACATGACATGGAAATCAAGGTTGAGGTTGTCACACGCAGGCACAGCCCCGGCAGCTCCCCCCTCCTGCCCCGGCACGTCACCCCCTCCCTGGGAGATATAAATAGTATTTGACACGTGATCCCTGCCCAGGCACGTCACCCCTCCCTGATGGCACGTCAACCCCTGACAGCAGGAGAAGCTGATGAGTCATCCAATGAGATTCACCCCCTGCATCAGGCGTCACCCCCTCGCCTGGGCGGGGCACGTCCAGCACATGACATCAATATTGACATCGTCTGCGAACAACCGCAAATGCCCCGGATCCCCCCCCCTGGGCTTGTGATGTCATCACCAACATTAACCTCCCTGCCCGGCACGTCACCCCCTCCCTGCCCGGCACGTCACCCCCTCCCTGCCCGGCACGTCACCCCCCCTCCCTGCCCCCCCTCCCTGCCCCGGCACGTCACCCCTCCCTGCCCGGCACGTCACCCCCTCCTGCCCCGGCACGTCCCCCTCCCCCCCGGCACGTCACCCCCTCCCTGCCCGGCACGTCACCCCCCTCCCTGCCCCCCCTCCCTGGCACGTCACCCCTCCCTGCCCTGCCCCGGCACGTCACCCCCTCCCTGCCCCGGCACGTCACCCCTCCCTCCCTGCCCACGGCACCCCTCTCCCCCCGGCACGTCCCTGCCCGGCACGTCACCACACCCTCCCTGCCCCGGCACGTCACCCCCCCTCCCTGCCCCGGCACGTCACCCCTCCCTGCCCCGGCACGTCACCCCTCCCCTGCTCGGCCAATGGTCAGATGTCAGCGACGTCGCACTTTGAACGACAATTACTCCGTCATGCAACACTGTAACCACATTCGTATCCTTTGTTTCCGATAGATAAGTTTTCTTTTGTTGGTATTTCCTGACCAATGAGGTTTATTTTCTTGTAATATAAATGAAAAAAAAAATACCGAAAATGTTTGAAAAAAAACAAACAAACACGTTTTTCTTTGTTTCTGTTATAAAATGTTGCAAATAAATAATCGTTCTTCATAAATGTCGGCCAAAATGTATTCGGCTGCATTGCTTTGGGGGAAAATAACCAGAATCAGTGTTTATTATTAGTCTGTGAGAGTTACCGAGTCTGAAAACCATGAAAATCCATCGATCCCGATGTACTGACGGCCAATCAGATCTCAGGACGGTACAGGATGAGGTCTCCCCATCACATCAGGGTCTCCCCATCACATCAGAGGTCCCCCATCACATCAGAGTCTCCCCATCACATCAGAGGTCCCTCATCAAATCAGAGTCTCCCCCATCACATCAGAGGTCCCCCATCACATCAGAGGTCCCCCATCACATCAGAGTCTCCCCATCACATCAGAGGTCCCCCATCACATCAGAGGTCCCCCATCACATCAGAGTCTCCCCATCACATCAGAGTCTGCCCCATCACATCAGAGTCCCCCATCACATCAGAGGTCCCCCATCACATCAGAGTCTCCCCCATCACATCAGAGTCTGCCCATCACATCAGAGGTCCAACATCACATCAGAGTCTCCCCATCACATCAGAGGTCCCCCATCACATCAGAGTCTCCCCCATTACATCAGAGGTCCCCCATCACATCAGAGTCTCCCCCATCACATCAGAGTCTCCCCATCACATCAGAGGTCCCTCATCACATCAGAGTTTCCCCCATCACATCAGGTCCCCCATTACATCAGAGTCCCCCCATCACATCAGAGTCTCCCCCATCACATCAGAGGTCCCCCATCACATCAGAGGTCCCCCATCACATCAGAGTCTCCCCCATCACATCAGAGGTCCCCCATCACATCAGAGTCTCCCCCATCACATCAGAGGTCCCTCATCACATCAGAGACCCCCCCATCACATCAGAGGTCCCCCATTACATCAGAGACCCCCATCACATCAGAGGTCCCCCATCACATCAGAGGTCTCCCCCATCACATCAGAGGTCCCTCATCACATCAGAGTCTCCCCATCACATCAGAGGTCTCCCCATCACATCAGAGTCCCCCATAACATCAGAGGTCTCCCCATCACATCAGAGGTCCCTCATCACATCAGAGTCTCCCCATCACATCAGAGTCTCACCCATCACATCAGAGTCTCCCCCATCACATCAGAGTCTCCCCATCACATCAGAGGTCACCCATCACATCAGAGTCTCCCCCATCACATCAGAGTCTCCCCCATCACATCAGATCTCCCCCCTCCCATCATATAGTCAGAGCACATACCCCCCCAATCACAGAGTACTCTCATTTATAATTCAGTGCACACTGTGTCACAGGTTTGGGGCGCTCTGGGAGAACCCAACTGACCCCCGAGGATGCCACGGACCCTGATATAGAGAACTGGAATATTGGAATGGCGGCCGTCATCTTGATATTCAAAGTCAATTCCAATGACAGATTGTTCAGTAAGCCGACGTGTTTCCATGGCCACAACTCCCCCCCCCCCCCCCCCGCCACAAACGGATGGATGATCCCAAACCTCCCAACACTTTCCTCCCATCCCGATACAATACATTGTACCCATTGCATCCCGGGGTCATTGGTTGTGAGCCCTGATGAAGGGGGGCCGAGGGCCCGAAATGTGTCGGCTTCGAGAACAACCTGTCATTGGAGACGTATGGAACCCTCCCCCCCCCCAAGGATCAACAAAACAAGTCCAATATGACGTATACCAGGAGGGTGTACGCCCCGTATATATATATATAGGGAGGTATATGACGTACACCGGGCGGGCGTACGCCCCGTATATATAAAGGGAGGTATATGACGTATAACAGGAGGGCGTACGCCCCGTATATATATAGGGAGGTATATGACGTATACTAGGAGGGCGTACGCCCCGTATATATATATAAAGGGAGGTATATGACGTATACCAGGAGGGCGTACGCCCCGTATATATATATAAAGGGAGGTATATGACGTATACCAGGAGGGCGTACGCCCCGTATATATATAGGGAGGTGTATGACGTATACCAGGAGGGCGTACGCCCCGTATATATATATATAAAGGGAGGTGTATGACGTATACCAGGAGGGCGTACGCCCCGTATATATATAGGGAGGTATATGACGTATACCAGGAGGGCGTACGCCCCGTATATATAAAGGGAGGTGTATTACGTATACCAGGAGGGCGTACGCCCCGTATATATAGGGAGGTATATGACGTATACCAGGAGGGCGTACGCCCCGTATATATAAAGGGAGGTGTATGACGTATACCGGGAGGGCGTACGCCCCGTATATATATAGGGAGGTATATGACGTATACCGGGAGGGCGTACGCCCCGTATGGAGGTATATGACGTATACTAGGAGGGTGTACGCCCCGTATATATATAGGGAGGTGTATGACGTATACCAGGAGGGCGTACGCCCCGTATATATATATAAAGGGAGTATATGACGTATACCAGGAGGGCGTACGCCCCGTATATATATAGGGAGGTATATGACGTATACCAGGAGGGCGTACGCCCCGTATATATAAAGGGAGGTGTATGACGTATACCAGGAGGGCGTACGCCCCGTATATATATAGGGAGGTATATGACGTATACCAGGAGGGCGTACGCCCCGTATATATAAAGGGAGGTGTATGACGTATACCAGGAGGGCGTACGCCCCGTAATATATATAGGGAGGTATATGACGTATACCGGGGGAGGGCGTACGCCCCGTATGGAGGTATATGACGTATACTAGGAGGGTGTACGCCCCGTATATATATAGGGAGGTGTATGACGTACACCGGGCGGGTGTACACCCGATCTCCAGGTCCCTCTGCGGGCTCCCAGCTGTGGGGTGAGGATCGGGCGGTCCCGACTCATCACATGACGTTTCACATTCACTATCCGGGTGTTATAATCTGTTTTGTAGCGGAAGCGGCCTTTGTATTTGTGGTGATTCGGGCAGAGGTGACACACAGGGCGGACACCCGCCTCCGGGGGACACAACATGGCGGCGGGGCCAACAGACGTGACTCATCAGAGGTGGGCGTGGAGTGGGAGGAGCTCGGCGTGTTTATCATGCCCCGTCACATGACACCCCCTCCTCCTCGCCCCGCCCCAATACAACTCGACTTGGCGCCAAATCTCGCAGCGCAGCGCACGCGGCCCTCCAGGCGGAGACATTTTGAAACCCCTGTCCGCGCCCTATTGGCCGCCCGGGGCCCCTCCCCTGGCCGCTCCGCTCCCATTGGCCCGCCCCGCGCGCTCCGCCCCCCCGTGACTAACGGTCGCTCAGGCCGGAGAGAGGAGAGGGATCGGCCGTCATCGGAGGAGGCGGCGGCGGGGGAGGGGAGCCCCGAGCCATGGAGGTCCGACACAAACTTACCTTCTCCCCCAGCGACTGCGAGGAGGAGGACGGGCACAGCACCGGAGACGACTCGGCCTTCCAGGAGAGCGAACCGGGCCGGGAGGAGGACGACGAGGCGGGGAGCCCCCGGGGAGCCGGGCCTGGCCGGAGGACGAGGAGGGCATCGGGGGCTCGCCTGTCAAATCCCCCCGAGGAGGAGGAGGAGGGGCGGGCGGCTACCTCATGAGTCCCGGGTCACCCTACCGGAGGGGGCAACGGGAAGGATCCAGCTCCCCCCTCCCCGACTGTCCCGGGACCCCGCCCCACAAGACCTTCCGCAAGCTGCGCCTCTTCGACACCCCGCACACCCCAAAGGTGAGGCACGCCCGGATTCGGGTCACACCATCTGCTGACAACCCAACACCGGCCACCTGCAACCCCCAGTCACCCGGATACGGGTCACCCCATCTGACACCCCGGTACGGGTCACCTGACACCCCTCTGTCACCCGGATACGGGTCACCCCATCTGCTGACAACTCAACACCGGCCACCTGCACCCCTCTGTCACCCGGATATGGGTCACCCCATCTGACACCCCCGTACGGGTCACCTGACACCCCTCTGTCACCTGGATATGGGTCACTCCATCTGCTGACACCCCAACACGGGTCACCTGAAACCCTTCTGTCACCCGGATACGGGTCACCCCATCTGACACCCCGGTACGGGTCACCTGACACCCCCTCTGTCACCCGGATACGGGTCACCCCATCTGCTGACAACCCAACACCGGCCACCTGCACCCCTCTGTCACCCGGATATGGGTCACCCCATCTGACACCCCGGTACGGGTCACCTGAAACCCTTCTGTCACCCGATACGGGTCACCCCATCTGCTGACAACCCAACACCGGCCACCTGCACCTTCTGTCACCCGGATACAGGTCATTACATATACTGACACCCCGGTACGGATCACCTGACACCCATCTGACACCCCGCTACAGGTCACTCCATCTACTGATACCCCTGTCACCCAAATATGGGTCATCCTGTTATGTTCCCTTACATCTGTCACCTGGAGATGGGTCACCCTGACATCTGACACCCCATTCGGGTCACCCAATCTACTGACACCCCAATAAAGGTCACCTGATACCCCTCTGTTGTCTGTCACCCAAATATGGGTCACCTTATATTTGCTTACAACTGTCACCCAGATACGGGTCACCTGACACTCCTCTGTCACCTATCACCCAAATATGGGTCACTCTGTTCCCTTACACCTGTCTCACGGATACGGGTCACCCTGGCACCCCAGTATTGATCACCCTGTCTACTGACACCCTTCTGTCACCCTCTCACCTAAATATGGGTCACCCTGTTATTTTCCCTTACACCTGTCACCTGGATATGGGTCACCCTGACATCTGACACCCCAATAAAGATCACCTGACACTTGTCACCCAAATACGGGTCACTCTTATGTTCCCACACACCCGGATACAGGTCACCCTGACAGCTGACACCCCCAGTACAGGTCACATGACACCCCTTGGTCACCCTGTTATGTTCCCTTACACCCCGCACTCCCCAAAGGTGAGGCACACCCAGACACGGGTCATCTTGATCTGTCACCCAAATATGGATCGCCCTGTGATGTTCCCTTACACCTGAAGGGAAATGACCTCCCACCCTGAGATGTGCCCCCCCCCCCCAACTACTGACACCCCAATACAGGTCACTGGCACTGCAGTACAGGTCACTTGCAGTGCAGTCCCCTCAGCCCCCCCCCCCATCCCGCTCCGTTCCCTCAGCCCCCCCCCCCCCATCCCGCTCCGTTCCCTCAGCCCCCCCCCCCCCATCCCGCTCCGTTCCCTCAGCCCCCCCCCCCCATCCCGCTCCCCCCTCAGCCCCCCCCCCCCATCCCGCTCCCGTTCCCTCAGCCCCCCCCCCCCATCCCGCTCCGTTCCCTCAGCCCCCCCCCCCATCCCGCTCCGTTCCCTCAGCCCCCCCCCCATCCCGCTCCGTTCCCTCAGCCCCCCCCCCCCATCCCGCTCCGTTCCCTCAGCCCCCCCCCCCCATCCCGCTCCGTTCCCTCAGCCCCCCCCCCATCCCGCTCCGTTCCCTCAGCCCCCCCCCCATCCCGCTCCGTTCCCTCAGCCCCCCCCCCCCATCCCGCTCCGTTCCCTCAGCCCCCCCCCCCCCATCCCGCTCCGTTCCCTCAGCCCCCCCCCCCATCCCGCTCCGTTCCCTCAGCCCCCCCCCCCCCCCATCCCGCTCCGTTCCCTCAGCCCCCCCCCCCCCATCCCGCTCCGTTCCCTCAGCCCCCCCCCCCCATCCCGCTCCGTTCCCTCAGCCCCCCCCCCCATCCCGCTCCGTTCCCTCAGCCCCCCCCCCCCCCCATCCCGCTCCGTTCCCTCAGCCCCCCCCCCCCATCCCGCTCCGTTCCCTCAGCCCCCCCCCCCCCATCCCGCTCCGTTCCCTCAGCCCCCCCCCCCCCCATCCCGCTCCGTTCCCTCAGCCCCCCCCCCCCCCCCCCCATCCGCTCCGTTCCCTCAGCCCCCCCCCCATCCCGCTCCGTTCCCTCAGCCCCCCCCCCCCATCCCGCTTCGTTCCCTCAGCCCCCCCCCCCCCATCCCGCTCCGTTCCCTCAGCCCCCCCCCCCCCATCCCGCTCCGTTCCCTCAGCCCCCCCCCCCCCCCCCATCCCGCTCCGTTCCCTCAGCCCCCCCCCCCCCATCCCGCTCCGTTCCCTCAGCCCCCCCCCCCCATCCCGCTCCGTTCCCTCAGCCCCCCCCCCCCATCCCGCTCCGTTCCCTCAGCCCCCCCCCCCCCCATCCCGCTCCGTTCCCTCAGCCCCCCCCCCCATCCCGCTCCGTTCCCTCAGCCCCCCCCCCCCTCATCCCGCTCCGTTCCCTCAGCCCCCCCCCCCCATCCCGCTCCGTTCCCTCAGCCCCCCCCCCCCCATCCCGCTCCGTTCCCTCAGCCCCCCCCCCCATCCCGCTCCGTTCCCTCAGCCCCCCCCCCCATCCCCTCCGTTCTCCTCAGGACCCCCCCCCCATCCCGCTCCGTTCCCTCAGCCCCCCCCCCCCTCCCGCTCCGTTCCCTCAGCCCCCCCCCCATCCCGCTCCTTCCCTCACCCCCCCCCCCATCCCCGCTCCGTTCCCTCAGCCCCCCCCCCATCCCCCGTTCCCGTTCCCCTCACATCCCGCTCCGTTCCCTCAGCCCGCCCCCCCATCCCGCTCGTTCCCTCAGCCCGCCCCCCATATCCCCGCTCCGTTCCCTCAGCCCGCCCCCCCATCCCGCTCCGTTCCCTCAGCCCGCCCCCCGTTCTCCGTACCTGCAGTCATTCTGTAGGGTTCAGCGATGAGCTGTCACCCCGGGTGATGTCTCTGTATATTGGAGGTGAATGTTTGCTGTAAAATCTGCACATCGGTGTCACTGGTGGGGGGCGCTCAGCTCGTCATGTTGGGGTCACAGCCTTCCTGGGATCATGTGACGGCCATTCTGTCCAATGAAACGAATTGACGCCCAATAATGTGCTAAACGTGACAGGAAATCCCAAATGTGGGGGTTTGTCCCCAGAAATGTAATGGAGGGGAAATCTTCCAATGGGGACGCGGGTCCTGGTGATCAGGGGGGGGGGGGGGGGGGAGGTATTCCCTTTTGCAGGGATTTCCTGTTTTGGTTGTTAAACAGGAAGTGAAGAAATCTCCTTGATGGGGACACTGGTTCTGGTGACCTGCCTTGGGGGGGGGGGGGGGGGGGGGTAGGGGGGGGGGTGGGGGGGGGGGGGGGGGTAAGGTATTCCCTTTTGCAAGGATTTCCTCATTTCCTGTTTTGGTTAAACAGGAAGTGAAGAAATCTCGATGGGGACACAGGAAGTGAAGAAATCTCGATGGGGACACAGGAAGTGAAGAAATCTCGATGGGGACACAGGAAGTGAAGAAATCTCGATGGGGACACAGGAAGTGAAGAAATCTCGATGGGGACACCAGGAAGTGAGTTCTGGATTAAATTTTCCTGTCCGGTTCTCACACCATAGAAATTCGGTCCGGAAGCATTTCTGCATTTTTTTTTGCGTGTTCCAGCGCAGTTTTGATGTGTTCCAGATGCTTTCAACCAAATCCCCCCCCCCCCTTTTTGGGTCCTTTTGGGCCCTGTGCATTTTGTGTTCCAGATGTTTTTTTTGGGGGTCATTTTGGTTCCGGTGTATGTTTGATGCGTATTACTGCGTTCCAGTACAGTTCTGTGTAGGAAAAATGCCGCCTGTTCTACTTTTTTTCCCCTCCCTTTCTGGTACCGGAACGCACCTGGAACCTCAAGCACTAGTGTGAACAATGCCATTGACAACCATATAACCTACTTTCTGTGCGTTTTGGATGCAGAAAAAAATGCACTGGAATGCATGGAGTGTGAACCGGCCCCTATAATAGACTGAAGGGGCTCTTGGCATTTTGCAGCTGCATGGGACTGCGATCCTGTGTGAATGAGCCCCCCCCCACCATTCACCAGCTGTGATGAGGCTGCAGGTTGTGGTACGAGGCGTGCCCGGACCTCGCTCACTCTGCACTACGTTGTTTATGTGGGAGGGGGTTCTGATGACGGGGGGGGGGGAGGTCCGTGGTTCTGTGTGACGGGGGGGAAGGTCCGTGGTTCACCGTGTGACGGGGGGGGGGGGGGAAGGTCCGTGGTTCTGTGTGACGGGGGGGGGGGGAGGAAGGTCCGTGGTTCTGTGTGACGAGGGGGGGGGGGAAGGTCCGTGGTTCTGTGTGTGACGGGGGGGGGGGAAGGTCCGTGGTTCTGTGTGACGGGGGGGGGGGGGAAGGTCCGTGGTTCTGTGTGACGGGGGGGGGGGGGGAAGGTCCGTGGTTCTGTGTGACGGGGGGGGGGGGAAGGTCCTGGTTCTGTGTGACGGGGGGGGGGGTCCGTGGTTCTGTGTGACGGGGGGGGGGGGGGGGGTGTGACGGGGGGGGGAAGGTCCGTGGTTCTGTGTGACGGGGGGGGGGGGGTCCGTGGGTTCTGTGTGACGGGGGGGGGAAAGGGTTCTGTGTGACGTGGTTCTGTGGGGGGGGGGGGGGGGGGTCCGTGGTTCTGTGTGACGGGGGGGGGGGGTTCTGTGTGACGGGGGGGGGGGAGGTCCGTGGTTCTGTGTGACGGGGGGGGGGGGGAAGGTCCGTGGTTCTGTGTGACGGGGGGGGGGGGGTCCGGGTTCTGTGTGACGGGGGGGGGTACGGTCCGTGGTTCTGTGTGACGGGGGGGGGTCCGGTCCGTGGTTCTGTGTGACGGGGGGGGGGTCCGGGTCGGGTTCTGTGTGACGGGGGGGGGGGGGGTCCGTGGTTTCTGTGTGACGGGGGGGGGGGAGGTGGTC